ATTGTGCTACAATGCGAAGTGACTCATGCCAGCCAGAAAGCTAATGTGCACAGTAACCATGACAATAGAACAACAGACTTTGATCGTTGACTGGCCCCTAGCTTAGTTAGGACTTTACATTTTCTAATTTTACTAGCAGATTTAGTTACAAACTAATTTGTAGTTACTGAGCCTCTAGTACCAACTTTAACTTAGGAGACATTTCACATCAGTACAATGTGATGAAGCAAATGACCATTGTATGCCCCTCAGTGTGCTCATACTGTACAGAACAGTTTCAAAATCAATTTGACAGTAGAGCTGTCTACTGTCAAAATAGAGCTCTCTCTCTGTCACTCCCACACACACTGAGCAACCTGTGTAGCTTCCAGGATGAAGTCATGGATGCTGATCTGCTCCTCGTTAGACAGACAGAGTTGGTCTTTATTGATGAGGGTGACAGTGAACGCCTCGCAGTTCATGGCCTCCTCCCGACTGGGCCAGTATGCAAACTCATCCTCCGCCTGCAGAAGAGCACATAGACTGTTTTACCACTGTGTTCATTCATTCAACAATGTATCACAGGATACAGCATTATTGTAGTATATTTTCTATTATCAAATCCTTGATTCTGTAAAGAAAAAAGTAACGACAAAAGAGGATAACACATTTGAACATAATCAAGTTGTCTTGCAGTAACCGTTTAGTGAAAGGACCTCTGGTGAATAAGTCTCTGAATCTGCAGGAGTTGTGTTTGATCATTCTTGCTGAATTTCATCTTGTTCTGTCTATTGCAATTGAGGGAATACTCTAGATTAATAGAATGCACCAGAAAATGTCGAACTTAGCTGTGACCCAAACTTTCAATTACAGGCTTGTTAAATGACCCAGTTAGGTCATGTTCCAATAAGTTAAAGTTCACCTGTTGACCTACCGTATGAGTGGCAAAGCCTCATTGCACAGGCTGTATCGCTGGTCTAAAACTAATGAAAGCTTCTTGTAAAATGCACATCTTTTTAATACAGTGTCCTAATCCTAGTTTAAAAACAGCTACCTGGGTCATATTCTTAACAGATATATTAATAATCACATACATGTTAAAAGGTAAGACATTCCAGCCTAGTCCTGTCACCTTTGTGGCTGGCAGTTCTGATCCAAATCCACCAATTTAGTATTGCACTTCTATAACATTGTCTGACTTGTTATGTTTACATAAATAGAACCAAAGACGACATCTGACACAGACTCCAAATGTCATCACCAGAGTCGGACAATTCGGTCGGAGATGCAGGTGTGTTATCTTAGTAGCGCTACAGATCTGGAAAGTTCTTTCTAGCTCCACAGATCTTTTTAATTTTCAAACTTGTAGTCCTCAGCCCCAGCCCGAGTGACATCACTTGAGCTCATTTATCAGAGAACATATTCTCAAATATCCTCAGACTAAAAGTAGCTCCGAACTGACTTAGTTAGGATAAAACTCCAGTCATGTCTTTAAGACTAAGTTTTTGGTTTAAGAATCATTTATAGAGCCTTAAAGATTCTCTGTCTGAGAGAATTAGGGGTTAAAGGTTGAAGGACTCTTAAGTCACTAACACTTGCTCACAATCAGACAGCTGCTACAGGTAATGTGCCTTGTCATGCAGATGTTTTGGAATAATCCAACAATTAATACCTTTAGAGCACATTTAGATGGTGGTGAGTTTGTCTAGTCAGCTCACCACAAAGTCAAAACAATCACAAAGGAGACAATGGTTTGTACTACTGTGACTCCGGTGAAACATCAGTTTCCAGTGCTGATGAACTTGGGAACATCTCAGCTGTCTGTCAGAATTACTAATCAAACCAAATTGCTCAAAATGGTCTTCAGATCCAATTTCTTGGACAGTATACTTGAATAAATAAATGAAGCTGGTTTCGTGGCCATCGCTGGATTACCAGGTAAAATTGGTGCCATATGCAGAACCACACTATTACAGTATGAAGAATTATCTAATGTACTGAAACTCTTTGCATGGAGGTGACTTTTGCTGATAACTACACAAAATGGCACGTGTAACTGGCTCATGAAGGTGTGTGCGATTCATAAGACCTTAAACACAGGGTTAGGAGGCACACAATGCACTTGCTTGTGAAAAGTGGTAGGTGGCACTAATCACCCTCCACAATATAGTGTGTCTGGGTTTGTGTGTGCTTCTTACCAGTCCATGGTTGGCAGGCAGCATAACAATAATTTGTGCGTTGTGGTCCCAGATCATTCTCCAGAAGTCTTTTGTGGTGTGGGGCAAAGGATGCTGGGTAATGATGAACTCATTACTCCGGTAGTAACCCTGAAGAGAAACCAACAACAGGTCAGTGAAAGAGTTACCCCACACCATTAACATCACATTTATTTAGATTTAGGTTATACTTAAAACAGTGTAAACACAGTGTTAACATTCCTGAATACATTACCAGCTCACCATCTGGAAGTCATGTGCACAGTTCGGATTTTAAAGGACTAAACAGAGCTTTGAGGGTTAATTCAAATCTGTGCGAAAGCATCTGCTGGTGAAAGGAAAATACTGAACCCCTGCTAGCTCAGCTATGTTTTTACACTATACTGGAACACTAATTTAGTGACCTCACTTGATCTACAGCCAGCAGCACACTGCAACTTAACTACCTGATTTTGGCAGGGTTTTGGGTTAAGGGTTACTCTTAACTTCTACTTCCTCTTCAAATAGACATGCCACAATTTCATACCTCAAGGTCAGATTACTAGTTGTTGAAAGTACTACTCAGCCTGTTGTATACCTTCTTTAGTTGAGTTTTTTCTTCAACTCTAAGAAAGTGCCATAGTGAAATCATCAGGGATATCGCTGCTGAGCTTAAAGGGACAGTTCACTCAATCATCAAAAATACATATTTTTCCTCTTAACCAAGAACCAGAGGGCACTGGCTTGAATGCATTTGAAAAACTTTCTTTCTACATATCATCATGCAGAAGGAAGCATGTTGACAACAAGGTCTGTGGATTATCTTGAGTAACTGAGTCACGATTTCTGGAAAGAAACATTGCTGCTGAGTTTTTAAAAATATTCAAATGTATTTTTTTTGGTTTGGCGCTTTAAGCAGCACAAGCTGATCTGGTTCCATTATATTGGAGAGAATGCTGATATCTCTATGGCCAATATCTCCCAAACACAGCAACTCACACCAAAAAAACCTATATGGATAAATTAATGACCTTGAAGACATTAAAGTTTTAGTGGAAAACCTGTGTTACAAACTGGGTCATGGAGTAGAGGTCTTCATGGTTACTAGAATCCTAGGCTCAAATTATATTCATTTTATTTTGATCTGGGTGGGGTCCCATTTTATTGCTGTGGGGGTCAATATGTGTAAAAAGTCATAATCATGACTTAGCTTTTGTCTCTCAATTTGGAAGTGTTTGGGTCAACCACATTTTGTATTTATATCCTCACGTCTATTAGAACCGGTTCTGACTGCCTTCGGGTCCAATTTAGATCAGGTTTTTTTTTTTTTCTTATTGCATTTCTCAGAAAGGGTCAAGATATTTGGACCTATAGAGACCTCTAGCATGGAGTTTGAAAGATGGTATACTGAAGACACAACTAAAAGCCAGCATATCTCGCCTTCTGCTGCTTTGATTTTGACCATTCTTTCTCGAAGTCTGTCTTTTGGAAATCCCCTAACTTTATTAAAGTGCAACACTAAATTGCTGGAGTAGCCCATTAAAGGAACCCTACATATTCTACTATAAACTGTGTTAGGCTTGATGCAACCTTCTCTGAGTCAAAACATCAAAGAGCGACTGGAGAGATCAATGATTGACAGAAGAAGTGAAAGTGCTGACCATGATGTAAGAGGCGTTTATGTAGTCGGTGCCTTTGATGCCAGGCAAAGGTGCTAGGCCGACCCTCGCTCGCTCTGCTGCTCACAGTTAGACAGAGAGAGAAGGGGTGGGGGAGAAGAGAGAGGGAAGAGAAGCCATTTACCAGTTTATTAGAACAACCAATCACACTCAGAGGCCACTCTGTGTGCTTTCATTCATCCTTTTGCTGTTATTGAGTGTTGACAGTTCTTGGTAATTCTTGGCTGGTGATTCAGAGAACTACAGAACAACCAGTGACTGTCAACAGATTGTGCAACAGCTGCAGAATACAAGGAGTTACTGAATGATGATAGTGAGACCCGACAGCATGTAAACAATCGAGTATTCCATATGAAGGTTTAGTTAATGAGTTTTTGAAGGCTTGTATGGAAATTATGTTCTTATCACTGAAGTTGCAAACAGAGGGCCACTCTTCACATTCACACATTTAAAATCAATAGCTGAGGCATTTTAGGGCCATCTGAAATACAACTGCTTTGTTAAATTGCTTTTAGTTTGTGTACAAATATTAAATCTTTTAAGTTTAACATTACAGGAAAAAAACAAACAAACAAAATAAAACTCTTAATATGTTTTTGTCATGGTTGTTCGGAGGTAGCCTACCGTAAGCTAAATTTGAGGATGTTAAAAAATTATGTTCTTCAACAGAACTTGACATTTATGATGACAGGTGTTTGGAAAAATACATAAGGTGCTGCACTGTTTGAAGAGAACTAGCCATATATACAAGACTTAAAGTGATAATAAGAATTAATTGGCAATGGACCCTTTCTAAGTACAGTCCCTGTTCCAATAAACCAAACCATAGTCCCACAACCAAATAGTTAAGATGGTTCATAAGTAGCATAGAGTATATACAATCACATCTATAGCTAATGTCAGCAAAACACTCGCTAACTAACATACATTTTTGGCTAGATAGTTAGCCAACGTTTTTCCTAAAATTAGCTAACTTAAGTCTACATGTTGCTTTTATCTTTTAACCGACTTTAAAATGTGGTTGTCTTTTCAACATTCGAGCCGAGCACATAGCATATCAGCAAGTACAGCAAAGGAGAAAGTTGGCCGAGGTTCCCTACAGCTACTAAGCCAGCTCAACTCTTAATCACTGGAACTTTAATTTCGTTGCACAACCTTGTGTTGTATAGGAATATGGGGGGATCGATTGGCTGCCAGGTTTTTTCATTCCAAAATATGAATGTGGAGAACGTAGTATGACCTTTGATCAAAAGTCCAAAAGATTTCAAATTTAACTGACACAGCATTTCTCACTGCAATGCCCCCATTTTTCAATCAAATTCAGATCATCAATCAGTGTGGAACAGTAAACATTCTTTATTTGCCATTCTTTTATGAAGCAGCTGCTGTACGTTATTACTTTCTGCTGTTTGCTGCTGTTTGCAGTTTCATTTCATATATAATACGTTTTTACAAGAGTGTAATACTTACATGGCACCACGGAGGAATTTCGATTTTTCTCTTTGTTGCACTCCTTCTGAGCGTTGAAGCATTCCATGAATCTGCCGTTACACTGTGTTACCAACTAAAACACAGAAGAACAAAAATATCAAACATAGGAATGGCAGACCAACTCATCATAACTAGGAAAGTTGTGTCATTTTACAAAAAACACTTGGGAAATATGCTTTGTTTCCATCTTCAACTGAATCAGCAGAGAAGGTTGTTATTTGATCACTGTCCCTAACCTGAGCCCTGACTCCAACTACAGAAACATAATTCAAAGGAAAAACAGAATTCAACAAGACCTGGACATGGGCTATGTGAGCACAAAGACTGGAAGCAAGAGGAAACTATAAGAAAAACAATCTTCCAAAAATGTCTGTTTTGTCATTTGTATCTTTCTACCTAGGAGGCTAGCTACTAAAAAATCCAATAGTAAAGGTTTTGTTCAGAGTTCCTGCATTGTGCAGAGTATTCAGTAAAAAAGCTTTGATGCATAACTATCAAGGTGAACTCCCTGTAAGCAAGACAAGAACAAGAATACTTTCCTAAAATATGTACTCTTGTACATTATTTACAACAAACATTTCA